AGTGGTAGAGCGCTTGCCTAGCATGTGTGAGGCACTGTGTTTGATCCTGAGCACCACATAGAAGTAAATTAAATAAAGATCCATTTTTTTCCTAACAAAATTAGAAATTGAGTAGGAATTTTCCATTGCAATGAATTGATGTGGACAGTTTGTACATGAATTTAAAAAGATGTTTATGTTACAAAAGTAACAAATATACAACCAATTCATAGATAAAATGCATGATTTTAAGATTTAGCTATACCTAATCTGTTAGATTAGGAGACTCTAAAATAAAAGGAACTTTGAAACATGGAATTATGAAGGCTGTGAGTTCTCAGGAAATTAAACTTAAATCACTTCTCCTCCTTAGAACTTTTCCCTAGCAAATATATTTTTTAATCATAGCTACGTCCTCAAGTAAAATTCCCCCCAAACAGGAAATATAGTTAACATGAACACTAGATGGTTAAGGATGGGTAATGAGCAATCCTCTCTCACAATTTTTAAATTATGGTAAACTAAAAATATTAATTTAAAATGGCAAATAAAACAATTTTAGAAAACAAACTTCAATTCTCTTGAAAATAAACTTCCATCAAACAGTACTGAGAAGGTATTGGCAGCAATTAAAAAGTTTTGGGGCTTTATTATATAATTTATAAACCCCTATTCATCAACAGAAGATACAGATGACTCAAAGGGTAATATTCCCAAGTAAGACACTGAATATGAAGTAGCAGTTAGCCAAATATGATGTTTTTTGTTTTGTTTTTGTTTTTTTCAGTACTGGGGATTGAATGCTGGGGCACCCTACCACTGAGCTATGTCCCCAGCTCGCTTTACTTTATCTTGAGACAGGGTCCTGCTGAATTGCCAAGGCTGGCCTTGAACTTGGCACTACTCCTGACCCAGCCTCAAAAGTCACTAGGATTTCAGGTGTGCAGCACCACCCCCAGTTCCAAATACAACTTTGATGTCAAAAACTGGGAACTAGTTCATTTTGTTTATACTTTGCCACTAAAACCTGATGTCTATCAAAAAAAAAAAAATATATATATATATATATATATATATATATATATATATATATATATGTTGTACTTGGTTGAAAATCACAAAATAGTTAGTAAAAGAAATTTAACATTTCTGTTTCTTCTTGCAGGCCACAGGCCAGATACTACTTGAACCCAATGAATGAACTTCACCCACTCATCTTCTGTGGGATAAGAAGCATAGTTATAGTTTAATTGGCAATGCTTTTTTATTTTTTAGTTACACATCTAGATGGAAATAACCAAATATTAACAGTAGTATATCTTGGTAGATATAAAGATATGAGTGATTTTATTTTAGTCAGAAAGAACAGATTATCTGGTACTCATAATCACACAAATTATTATTTCTTAGTTGCATAAAATAGAGGACAGATTTGGTCTGGATATTATCACAAAATCTACAACATCTTTAAATGTCTATTAAGTATGAAGAATGTAACAAACACATATTTAACTCCCAAATATTTTTTTAAACTTATTAATTTTGCTAATTTTATTGAACATCTTTTTTTTTTTAAGCCTCCATGCCAAAGTCAAATTTTTTGCATTCTGATGATGTTAAAGGGTTCATGTCAGAGCTTCAAAATCGTGAAGTCCAGAACTAAGACTTAAAAACAAACAACAAAAACCTTAGTTCAACAGCACTCATGTCTGTCAGGTACTAATAAAAAATAAAGATTAATTCTGTATTTCATATTTTTTTTAAGAAACAAGTTCTGTCTACTGGTATGATTTTTCTTACAACCAAACACCAAATCTTTTTGTTGAGATGGCTTGCTATATATGTAGGTAAGTAGGTAGGTAGGTAGGTAGATAGATACCGTTCAGTATTATAATACGTAAAGAATTCCAGACTTGGCAGTAATTTTGACATATTGCCTCAATACTATATATCTTGACAGCAATGATCATTTGTGAGTTTTTGACAGAGTTCTTGAGATTGGTTTCAAACTTTCAACCATAAAAGTAGGGTTTTGATTCAAAATCAAGAAACTACCATAAAAAGTGATTTCTAATTAAGCTCGGAAGAAGCCATGAAAAGTAGAAGAAAAGCTAATTATTCTGTCCAGTGGGAATTTTATTCAGTTGTACCAACTGAATCTACTGGAAGGAGGAGAAGAAGGAAAAAGAGATAGCATAGTAGTGGGATGTTGTTCTGGGCACAAAAAGCAGCATGTAACTGCACATTGGCAACAGCAAGACAAGCTAACAAAGGGGACAGAAGATGTACTTGACAGGAGTATAGAGAATTAGCAGATGAGTAGGAGGAGATGGCATATGTAATGTAGGCTGGGATGCAGTAGGAAAGAGCCTTGGTGGTAAAGATGAATAGTTTAAATTTAATACAAAATACAATAAGGGCCCAGTGAAGCAAGCTGAGAAACCCTAGAGAATGGCTACAGCACAGCATTTCCAGCTGTCTAAAGGGTAGATCTTTAGAGAGGGAGTCTGGAAAAGGGGGACTTTTTAAAATCATGAGAGAAAACATTCAAAATCGGGCCCAAATGTTATTTTTTGTTATTTTAGAAATGAAAAGATCAACAGGCATTGAGAGGTGCCATAATTGTTTGTTTCTTGGATTTACATTGTTTGAATAAACACAGGGAGGAAAACAACGTGGAAATAATTCAAGTTTAGACACTTGAGAGTCATACGTGACCAAATCTAAAGTAAAGAAAGGTGATAATGAGGGTAAATAAATAGGATCTTACACACAAATGACAACAGATAAAATTTTCTTGGCAACTTTTCAGTTACTAAAATGTTTTAGAAGAAACAGGAAAAAATAAAGAGAAAGTAGCAAAATAAGTATGAAAGACAAAAGCTTCAAGCACAGAAAATAGTGAATTATCCAGTAATAGGCATGATTAATTTCTTAAAACAATTTTTCATACTACAAAATTTATTAAGGTTGTTTTTTATCAAAGTAATTCTAAACTACAAAATTTATTAAGGTTGTTTTTCATCAAAGTAATTCTAGTGTAATTAAATACTAATTCTTATTTTTTCTGACACAGGTTACATTTTACTTTGAAAACAATTAGTAAGAATTCAGCATTGTAAAATAGCTCTCCATAACTTAAACATGTATTTGGTGATGAACTTATGTACTCACTGTGTACTGTACTTTCAACTTTATTCCTTACTCAATATTTGAAAGCCTAATAAATATTATTGACCATATGCTGAGGAAAAGCTGACATTCTAGCAAATTCACTACTTTTACCACTAGGGGGAGAAAAAACACAAGCGTATATGTTATCAAAGCTGGCACGAGGTCCCAGGTACTTTACCTAGATTTTCCACCAGGTGTCAACCAAGAGGGAAAAGGCTATTTCTTCCAAATAAATACCAAACTTCAAATTTTAACCATATCAATCTAAACCAAAGGAGAAATGACTTGCCTACTAGTTACTGTTTGCCTATTTATGTTCTAGATACACTGTTGAATCCAGGATAATGAGTTGTCAACTAAAATTAAATAAAATTTAGTTTATTTTGAAACAAACAGCAGGACCAATGAGTTTAGTTTATTGGGACTCTCAGACTCAACCTATCCAAATATACTATACAGAACAATCTAAAATGCTTAAACATGGACAACTAAAATTTTTCCAAAGTATTTTTGGTCAGATATATAGTGCGAGATTCTTAAGTTTTTCTTTCTAAATTTCTCTTATGATGTGTTATGTTGCTTGCCAGTAATCTGAGTTTATGTCCTTATACTCTGAATCCAATACGATGTGAGGAAGGCACTTGCTATTTTTTACCAAAACTTTTACAACGAAATGAGAAATGCACCTATCTTTTGTAGAATGAGAATCACTATGTTGAACCATCCGAGGCTCTCCGCTGAAAATGAAGTTTTACAGAACTAAGTCTCATTTATATCCTAAGACATACTTCTTAAAAAAAAAAAAAAAAAACATCCTATGTGCTTCACTAATTTCTAACAAAGACTGTTCGGTGTTGTTATAAACATGTCAGCTAAACCACCATGTCATACTGCCCCTTATAAGGTGGTACATTTTGGGGCCGAACTCTATTCTTACTCCCGTGGGCACAGGATTTGTAATTGTCATGCCCTCCAAATGAAGCCGTAGGTGGCATCTTAAAAAAGGACTTTTTTCTTCCTTCGAGGAAGTGGGCAAGCCTTTTCTCCAGTGTCATCATGGAAACAAAGTTTTCTTTGTTTTATTTTCTATCTAGAGGATGGAGAAGGCAATTAAGAGAAAAAGCAAAGCCTATTGATCGGATTGTAGTTTCTCTTCTTTTGGAGTATTCTGTTTTAAGGCTTCTTTGGCCTCTGCTGAGTTCATTTCGATCCTGCCTGCAAAGTTCTGTTGTTGTTATTGTTGTTTTTAAGAAAAAGAAAAACCTTACGTCAAGAATGCTCTTGTCTATGAATAATATTTGTCTGGCTTTTATTACGTTTTCTTTTGAAATTCGTTAGCTTAAACTCAGCAACGAGCCGCTTGCCCAACCGGTTTCTCCCCTTCCCCCACCCCTCTTCACACATCACTTTTTCCTCCTCCCATCCAGGCAGCTGGTAAAACCCTGCAGTGCCGGTAACGCACGCTTCTGGCTGGTCACTCAGCAGTTTAGCCTTACTTGGCTGTGCAAACAGTTCCCCACCCAGCCCTAGTCGCTTCCCGGCCGCTCCACCATTATCTTTCTATTAGAGTGTGCTCGGTAAGGGGTTCCAGATAGCATGTCTAGGGTTTACGGTAGCCTGCCTACCAATAGGAGCCCACAATGAAGAGAAGTCAGGTTCTGCCTCCCGGCAGCGCCACTGTCTCCTTCGCCAAGCTCTGCACCTACTGTACCCGCGAGCGAGCGTGCGAGCCAGGGAGCGAGCAAGCCGGCCCGGGTGGGGGCGCGCAGGGAGGGCGGACCGCAGCCGCGGCGTGCGCGTGCGCACTGGGGTTGTTTTTCACAAAGCAGCTCTTAAAGTGAGCTGGCAGGCTCCAGCCGCCCGTCTTTGTAAGGAGACCACTGAGACGAGCAGGAGTGCGGAGCAGCAGCCTCTCTGCTGCCCTGACTTTTTAAGAAATCTCAATGAACTATTTGTGAAGAATCACTGATCCTGCCTGCAAGGTTTTTGCATGGCAAAGACATTGATCAGTGTTAAGTGAAGATCACATTTTATATGCGATCTTGACTTTTTTTTTTGTCTTACATTATATTTTTATAGATTTTGTTATAATCATGGTGCTGGGAAAGGTGAAGAGTTTGACAATAAGCTTTGACTGTCTTAATGACAGCAATGTCCCTGTGTATTCTAGTGGGGATACTGTCTCAGGAAGGGTGAATTTAGAAGTTACTGGAGAAATCAGAGTAAAATCTCTTAAAATTCATGCAAGAGGACATGCGAAAGTACGCTGGACTGAATCTAGAAACGCCGGCTCCAATACTGCCTATACCCAGAATTACACTGAAGAAGTAGAATATTTCAACCATAAAGACATCCTAATTGGGCACGAAAGAGGTAAGTTTTTATGTAAGTCATTAGACTAATTTTGGGGGGAAAAGTACCTTTTCGGTTTTCTCATTTAATGTGGTTCTTTTAGCATAACAGCAGTTTGATAAAGATTAGCAAAGTTGGAAGATTTTGATTCTCCTTGACATTCTTCGTGTGTTAAGCTGTAATGCATGCAGGCATCTGCAAAGTGACTGCAAACTGCACTTATTCAACTACCTCTATACCCGGCTTGGTCTGTGCCTCTGCCATACGCACTTGTAGTCCATTTGCATCTTACTTAGAAATTCAGCTTAAATCCGGTTCAATAATTTTACTAATATGTTTTCAATTGAATTGCAAAAAGCTGCAGCACAATATTAGATTGTTTTTTCTTTTACTTTACAACCTTAGATATAAAAACTGATCTTCAGTGAAGAAGTGAAATAACATTTTTAAGAAGGTCAGTGGATGTATTTCATTTCAATATTGACATGCAAAAGACTTTTAAAGACTTGATCATTGTTCTTTGATAAAGGGTTGCCCTGGCTTATTTTGACATATGGTTATCAACACCCCACGTGTTTTTTCCCTATTCTCTCCAATTCCTTCAGAAATTTACACCAAGCATTCTCATTTTAAAGGATAGTATCTGACATTATGGTAGGGATTAGGTCAGTATACGAAGCCATTCAGGGTCAGTAATTTTCTTTTCCAAGCATCATGTCTAACTTCGGAACGTGCATTCAATGAAACCCATGCCAGTTAGATGGAATTGAAAAGTGTACTGCACGTTGGATTTGATTTTTGGTTATAAGAGGGAGATAAAGGGTTGTCAAAGGGAGAAGGGGTCCTGAGATTTCCAATCTATTGTTTAAATGGTTACATTGTGGAAATATAGGAGACTCTAAGCTTGTTTTTCTAAGTTTCCACCCTTTGTTAGAAGCGGTTCAATCCTGTTTCGGACCAGTTCTGGGGGGTGGTGAGGAGGGGCGCTTCTTCTGCTCTCAGCAGATTGGTTACACGCGTCAGGTGGTGGCGATGACTTAATTCCTAGCCCAAGAAGAATATAATGTTAAAACTGGTTATGTAATTTTTGTGCTTCTCTTTTTTAATGCAGCATTTAGTTCAAGTCTTGACGATTTTACAGAAAGGAGAGAGGCATATTTTTACCTTCTTTATTTTATTAAAAATGTATGTCCTGGTAGAGTGCTAAGGCAAGTGAGAAATGAAGGATGCTTACAGCATTAAATGCATCATTGTGAAAATTTAAAGGTGAAATCAGTTTAGAATTTTCATAGCTACAAGGTACTTTGCATCCTGTAATAATTTCAAGTTAATCTCACAAGGATAGCACCAATAGATAATGCAAATGCCTAATGACAGTTCTAGCATTTGTTAAAAAGTGGACACATGAGTTTGTGTTTGAACCTTTCTGGAAATTGCAGCCTTGTATAAAATGGGTGAGAAGAAACAAAAGATTTTTCTTTTAAGGAGTTGAGACTTGCAATGGGAAAAAAAAAAAGTAGAACAGTGATTTGTAGGGAAAACTTAATTTTACTAATTGCATAATGGTTTCATGGTAAATAAAACTATCTGCCCCGCACCCCCACGAGATGCCCCCCAACCCCTGCAACGCGTGGACATGATCTTAGCCAGGAATAGTTTCAATGACTTAAAACTGGGAGCTCTCAAACTAGCCTGGTAACTGAGACCCGCCCCGGTCTCCCAGTGATAGGCGGAGTCCGGTTTGTTAGCCTGTTGCTAAGGCGATGCCAGGCGCTGATTGGATTGGGCACAAGCGGGTAGGGAGAGTGGGCTCGCGGTGTCTGGGGCGAGGCTTGGAACCGGCGTGCGCCGGTAAAGGTCCCTCCAGAGCAGCCGCCTCCTCTCGTGTTCGCCTTCGTTCTCGGGCTGCTTTTGGCGCCCGCTGCTCAAGTCATACTGTGTCCTGTTGTCCTTTATGGCAGCTTGCTTGGGACACCCCCCACCCCCCGAAAAAAAACGATTAACATTTCAGATGCAGAAGCTCCCACCGGCCTTACAGGTGCCAAATGGCCTTGGGCGCAACTTTAGCTAAAGACCCCGTGAAGAGGGACTTGGGTTAGGAAAAAGAGCAAGACCCCATTTTCCTGGGTGAAATGGGTCTATAAATGCTTGTTTTCTCTTCTTAGCGCAAACAAAGCGTATTTGCACACCTGTCCCGTCCCCAAACAGGCTACCCTAATTTGACCTGGGGGGGATGTCAGTGGCTGTCCAGGAGAGGGGAAAGTATTTCAAACATCGAAATCTGTGTAGGGCCTTAGGGGAATATCTCTTGCCCCTTACCCCTTTGTTCCCCTAAACCGTGGCTCCCTCCCCTTCACCACCCAGTTTTCCCTTGCCTTTACTGTAAAGGTGTCAGGGTGGCCCAAGCCAGATCGAACCGGTCACCGGCTGGGGCGTGTAAAGCGGAAGCGCCGCGGCGCAGTCGCCCCGCCCCCTATCCAGCAGGCTAGGCTGCGCGGGCACGGGCGCGAGCGCCGCGCGACGTATGCCGTATGTATAGCGGAGCGCGCGTGCTGCGGAGGCGCGCGGGCGGGCCGGCTGGGATCTGCTCGCGCCGGTTTAGGCCGGTCCTCTCCTGCTCCGGTCTAGTTCTTGATTGACAGCCAGGCACTTGTTTACCACCGCGCGGCCCGCCGTGGCTCGCCTCAATGAGACTGCTGAGCTGGCACAAAAAGGAAGCAAGAAGGGAAGAAAGACAGAGGAAGGCAAACTTTGGGAGCCTTCACGGAGAACGTATCTAAAAGGCCCCCAACTCCCCAGCTAGTTTTCAGTGCTGAGATCTGTTCAGGGGAATTTACCCAGGGAACAAGGGAAATAATCTGTAGACATAAGCGAGTCCCAGTGATTTCGGATGAAAAATCGATGTGTAGGTGCTTTTCCTCCCATTCCTTTGATATAAGGGAAGCATCACATTTTTGTGTCTATTTAGTACTTTGGTGAAGAAAAGTTGAATAATAGTCCAGTTTTTCCTTGCTCTGGTAGCTAATTATAAAGGTTTCTCCATCCAGAAAATAAAGACATTGCGTAATTGTATTACCTAGTTGAGGCTAAAAGTACTGTTTTAATAATTGAAAACCTCACCCACATTTTTCAGTAATATATTTCTTCATGCCACTTAAGACATAATGCATTTGACCTAAAGAAATTGATTATAAAATGAAAGGTCATTCCTTATTCTAACAACTGGAAAGTACCTAATTATACTTCATTTTTCAAGGATATTGAACAATTTTGTTTCCTTGTTAGAAGGCATCTTTTTAAGTTCTGTCCTTTGTGATGAAATAAAGTATACTTTGTGTACATGAGATTTAAGCTATTGGTAGGAGTAGGACAACATGAGTGTTGAGTATTGTGATCAGTCTAGATCAATATGGAATTATTTTCAGCTATGAAACCAGCATTAAAATCATTTTTTAAAACTCCAACATTTTTGGTACTTTTCTAGTGGTTTGGGAGTTGTGACATGTATATTCCTTTCTGTAATGTCAGTAGTATTCCTTCCAACTGACATACTTTAAAATTTTTACATGAACAGTCTTTTTCATTTTATATATTATAGTCTTAATATTTTAAAAACAGTTGGCAACAAAGGTAACTATGATTGAAACTTGAACCTATTGTTTAGCATATGCTGTACTAGACAGGGATGCTTTGCAGTTTGGGTCATTTAAAAAAAAAAAAGCCTATAGGGTACAAGTATTTGTTTATTATCCCCCTCTTAACAGGACAGATGAAAGTTAAGGATTTTTATTTTATCCAGAGAAGTGGAGTGAATTAGAACTCAAGATTCCAAAGCTTATGGCCTTAATTATCTTATGAGCATCTTTAAAGTTATACCACCCTGAGTTGTGTTAAACATTTAATTACAAGCTTTCGTTTTTTGTTTTAGATGATGATAATTCCGAAGAAGGCTTCAATACTATACATTCAGGAAGGCATGAATATGCATTCAGCTTCGAGCTTCCACAGACGTAAGTATTTATAAGTAATAGGCATTTTTTATAGACATTCATTGTCAAAAGCAGTCTTAAAATTAAATATTTTTAAATTATTTTTATTTTTAAAAAAACCCTTTTCATTACAAAAACTGGCTAGAGGAAAACAATATATTAAACATAAGAAGCTATTTTTTTAGTATGTGGCAAAATTATAGAAAGCAAGCAGAATTATTAGTATTCTGTACCAACGTTTATGAGGTTTTTAAAACATGAATAGTATTCCATTTAATGTGAGTGAATGGAAGATACCAATCAAATAGTAAACACTTTATAAATATTTGGTTTAGGGCTGGGGATGTAGAGCACTTGCCCAGAGTGGTTTTTGAGACCCTAGGTTCAGTAAGTTTGGAAGGTAAAAATAAAAAGGAATAGCCTAACTTCAGTAGTGATATTTATATACACATTCGTTAGCTTCCATGCAGAGAGCTGTTAAGAAGGTCACATAAGATATTATGGCCTGCACTTGAAATAGCTATCAGAATACTTTAATATAAAGCTTGGAATCTAGTATACCTTAATAACAAATTATTGAGAAAGATTATTATTTTTTTTTATTAATACCTTTTAACAGAGCTTAAAACCTGAAAACTGGCACTTGTACTGATTATTCTGGAGGATAAATTTAGATTACATAAGCGTTTATCAAGTGCCAGGTGAACTTAATTATTTTCTTAATTCTAGTATTTGAGTTGTTAAATGTAGAATTCATAAATGTTTTTCAGAATATTATATTTTAATACTCTAATTGTAAACCAGTCATTTAACATAAACTCTAGAAGACCAGCATGAAGTGTAAGATTTAGAAGTACTGTATTTTATTGCTCCATTATATAAGTTAATGTGATAGTCTAAAATGTCAGAAAAAAAAATGTGAAATGCATCTACCAGTCAAAGCTAACACTCTATCTTATAAATAATTAAATATTGTGTATTTTTAATAAAACCTGAAAATTGGCAGAGTTCAGAAACAGTTCTTATTTTGATATGAATTTTTTTAAGCCTTAGATAGTAAAGTTAGAAAATAAAGAAGAATTAGAACATATTATATGAAAGCAGTTTTTCAGACTTCTGAGGACTTTATGAAATCTGAAATTTTTGAAACTGTAAGGACTATTCCAGGCATTTTCTTGGACCTTAATGAGTTGCTATAAAAAGAGGTAAAATAATTTCTTGCTAATGAGAAATGGAGCACTATAGGGAATTTGGTCTGAATGTTTAGTGTCTAGAATTGCTCAATAGAAATAGTTAAGCCATTCTTAACTTTATTTTTAAACTCTTGACCTTTGCAAGAATTGTTTATCATATTTTCATAATTTTGCCACTAGCATTAAAAGTAGCCTCTTTTTAGTTTAAAGGGATTATGCTTCTGGCTTTTTAAGGCAGAAATTTCCATGATATTTAGCTAGTATCCATTGTTATTTGGAAATAAAAGTTTTTTTCCCCAGTGACTTATCCCTTTGGAAATTTTTTTAAATCATGGATTTTATACCTCATTGGTACATAAACAGTACAATGTATTAACACTTCTATTCTGACCTACTGTATAATTCTTTGAAAGAGGTATAAGATTAATATATTCACTTTATATTCTGCACAGACCACTTGCTACCTCATTCGAAGGCCGACATGGCAGTGTGCGCTATTGGGTGAAAGCCGAATTGCACAGGCCTTGGCTTCTACCAGTAAAATTAAAGAAGGAATTTACAGTCTTTGAGCATATAGATATCAACACTCCTTCATTACTGGTAAGAATTGACTGAATTATTCATTCTTTGTCTTGACATATAAATGATAATCACATGAAATACGGAATTTTTATAACTTTAAAATGACTTCATTTTTAAATTTCATACATATGTATATTTTTAAATACAAGAGGATACAAACTTATGAAGAATATGCTCATATTTTTTATACTATAATAACTTAAAGTAAATTTAGAAGTAAGACCAATATGTTGTATGAAATAAATCTGTTCCCTGGATAATTTTTAGTGGAAGAGGAACAGTGATGTCATTAATTATAATATTACATAATTGGAAATATCATAATCTAAAATTTGTACTTATATTGAATTATTCCAATTAGGGATAGTTGTCAAATGCTGGGGAATTATCACTTTCTTGAAAAAACTTAATTCCTGCTTAAAATGAGTCTTTTAATGGCATTTTTATGAGATTAATTCAAATTTGACTTCAAAAACTTTGGTTTTTAGCAAATGATAACATCTTTAAAGCAAACAAGAATTGTCCTTAAAAATGGGCAGTTTCCCTTTTTTTGCATATGATTTTTACATTCTCAAAGAAAGATGTTAACATTTGGATTATAACCAAGTTCCTTTCTATGCTGCTTTTCCTTAAGGTAGTTTAAATAAAATTTGGAAAGGGTTTTTTTGTTTGGTTAGATGTTTTAAATTACTGTATATGTAAATAGATGGGCTAAAGCTATGGGATACCATGTTAAGCCTTTTGCCCTTTTTTCATTTAATTTGATAGAAATTTGTTTAAAGACAAAAGTAATGGTATATGCAGAAGGTACATTTGGGTGCATGGAAAAAAAGCAATAACAAAGTGACACTATTAGTTGTTAAATTCTCCAAGAATTAGGATTGTATTTTCAAATATTTTGTTATTTTGCCATTTCATACATTGATCTTTTTCTCAATTTGTTTCTTACAGTCACCCCAAGCAGGCACAAAAGAAAAGACTCTCTGTTGCTGGTTCTGTACCTCAGGCCCAATATCCTTAAGTGCCAAAATTGAAAGGAAGGGCTATACCCCAGGTATGTATGAGCTTGATCCCCACAGAAAGTGATCTTTTTTCACCTAGCTTTTGTGTATAAACTTATAGTATTGGTGTCAAATAGAAACATCACATCAGTATTCTGTAAAATGACAGAAATTGTACTTACCTAGTTTCTTTTCACAAATTAGAAAGTAGTCCCTTTCATACAGCTACTGTAAATGAGTCAGTCATTTTCATGAATTTTCAGTTACTTGCTTACTCCAAGGACAGTTCTTCATCCATGTAGTTAATTAAACCTTCTAACATTGAGTCTACATTATGTTGTTTTTTTGGGTTTTTTTCGTCTTTCTCTAGGTGAATCAATTCAGATATTTGCTGAGATTGAGAATTGCTCTTCCCGAATGGTGGTGCCAAAGGCAGCCATTTACCAAACACAGGCCTTCTATGCCAAAGGGAAAATGAAGGAAGTGAAACAGCTTGTGGCTAATTTGCGTGGGGAATCCTTATCATCTGGAAAGACAGAGACGTGGAATGGCAAGTTGCTGAAAATTCCACCAGTCTCACCCTCTATACTCGATTGTAGTATAATTCGTGTGGAATATTCACTAATGGTATGTCTAGATTTTAAGAGGAGGGCTTTTTTAAAAAGTTGTAAAGTTATGTAGAAATAATTTTATCTTAGATCTAGAATTTGATTTGATTTTTTGTGTGCATGTGTGTGCAGTATTGGGTGTTGAACCCAGAGGCAATCTACCATTGAGCTGTATCCATACCAGCCTTTTTTTTTTATTTTTTAAAACAAGGTCTAACTAAGTTGCTCTGGTTAGCCTCAAACTTGTAATCCCTCTGCCTCAAACAGATAAGGATATAGGCATGCACCACCACTACTGGCCTAGGATTTGGTTTTTATATTTCATACATACAAATACGTAGAAAAACTGAAAAGGGAGAGGGAACCTCAATTAATATTAAAACTGGGTTATTTGTGAAATCACATTTGTTATTCTAAACTTAATATCTCTTTTCAATATTTAGGTATACGTGGATATTCCTGGAGCTATGGATTTATTTCTTAATTTGCCACTTGTCATCGGTACCATTCCTCTGCATCCATTTGGCAGCAGAACCTCAAGTGTAAGCAGTCAGTGTAGCATGAATATGAACTGGCTTGGTTTATCTCTTCCTGAAAGACCTGAAGGTAATAATGCCTATCTAAATTTAACCCATTAGTAGTAGTAGTGTGTAGTAGTAATAGTAGTAAGAACTTTATTTTGCTGTTGATATTATATGATCCTAGATAAATCTTAATCTTTCTTTAAAGAGTAGATGTATGTACCCCTAATGTTAAATTTAAATTGATGTCTCCCTAGCTTTAATTACCAAATAATTATTATTTTGCTTTGACATTCTTTTTTAATACCTACTATTCTGTGTATTTTGACATGCATAAGAACATGCTGTTCGAATTGCGTGTATCTTTTTCCTTCAGCACCACCCAGTTATGCAGAAGTGGTAACAGAGGAACAAAGGCGGAACAATCTTGCACCTATGAGTGCTTGTGATGATTTTGAGAGAGCGCTTCAAGGACCACTGTTTGCATATATCCAGGAGTTTCGGTTCTTGCCTCCACCTCTTTATTCAGAGGTAAGAGCACCAACTTGAGTATGAAATGGGCTGGATTTGTATTGCAGAGTTTAAAAAATAGGTTTTGATTATCATGATAATCAAAGAACAAATAATTTAGAACAGGAGATTTAAAGTTATTAGGGTTGTTGAATTTACTAAGTTTGACACAGAAATAATTATGACTATTCACTTTTTATTTGGAAAAATAAGATAATGATCTTAGCGTCATTGAATTCATTTTGTGTTTTGGGGGTAATTTTATATTTCAAGCATCAATAGAAAAAGTGGCATTTTACAAGCATTAATTAAATATGAGAATTTATCTTACTCCTCCTCATTCCTACAATTTAATTCTTGTATATTTTGACATTTGTTATAGGGTAAAGTAGTATATTTCAAAATACTTAAACAGAATTCCTACACTGGTATACTATTTTTATCTACCTCATCTTGATGGCAGTTAAGCAGTGAACATGAATAAGCTTTGTGCTTAATGGGAATAAGTTCATAGAATAGTGAGAAAAATAAACTTGGAAACAGATATTATATTAGCAGTGTTAGGAATAAACAACTCAGGAGCAGCTTATTGGGCCTTGGGAATTAGGAAGGCTTCTTAGAGAAAAGTTACTGTTAGGCTGTTTCTTGAGGGTGAGTGGTGCCCAAAAGGTGGGAGAGTCCAGTTACACAGGAAGAACAGTGGATAAAGGGAAGGATGTGAGGAACAAATCCAATTTTAGGATTTTTCAAAATGACTGGAAAATGTGCCTATGGTCCACATTTTTAGTACCTCTAAGATTGGTCTAGATATCCAAAATAATGTTGTAAATCACAAGACTTAGCTTGTTCTTTTGGTTACTGGAGTTCACACCATTGTTTTATAATGAAATATTATATAATGTTTTATACTCTTAAATTTAGACATGAATTGTTTTTACTCTTAGTACTCTTTTTTTTTTTTTTTTTCCTGAGTGCCTTAATTGAAAGAGTCATTTTCCTTTGGGTGTGATAAGTGATCCTCTTCATTCACTGATAATAGGATATTCAGAATCTGGTCTTCAAACTTTTTAATTGGATGTATTTTTTTCCTATCCTATTATTTTAGTGCATTAGAATTTCTTTAGATGTTAAAAATGTTCTGCCATGTGTTCAGATCGTGGTAATACACTTCCATTCTGACATTTCAGTCTTGCTAGGCAAGTCAGTCATTTGTGGCTTGATTTGAGGATTCCTGGCTATTGGGGGAACATTTTAGAAGAATGACAATCTAAATATAATTCGCTTGTAACTAATTCTTCATAAAATTCTGCCTCCTTTTTTTAGAATGAACTTAAGATAGCTCATCAAATAACAGTAAATGTTTCCCATTGTTTTCTAGATTGATCCAAATCCTGATCAGACTTCAGATGATAGACCATCCTGCCCCTCTCGTTGAAGGAACACTTGGTTAAATCAAGTTGATGTGGGTTCCGAACTGTATCTCTTCCGGCTGAGGACAGAGAAGTATCTTGGAGACACGTTTTCAGAGGAAGTGGAATTGCTTTTGCCCAGAAAAATGGCATGAAATACATGAAACAACGAGTGATCATGCTTCAGAAGCCTACAGCAACATTCTGGGACTGCTCCAATATGCTTGAAGATCTAAGCTTTTCTTCTTTAAAACTGGCACATACTAAGAGCAGTCATCTTTAGCCTATGGTCATACGTGTCAAGACACCATGTTGTAAAGAGGGATGATTTCCTTCTTTTGATTTGAAAATTTGCACATGCTCAATGCTTACATTGTGCAGTTCAATGTCACTACAGCTTTTTTTTTTTTCCATTTAAGCCAGACTCTTGATACTCTTTTAAAACTTGTTGTGGTCTATACAACAAGGAACAAAAGAAAGCTTTGAAAAAACTGTAACATGAAAAAACGCACTGACATTTTTTTTTTTATTTAATATAGCCTGGACTTTACCTGCGTATGCACATGCTCAGAATTGTCCTACTAGGCTGACCATGTATCACCTCTTCAGCTTGGATCCTATTGTGGATTTATTTACAAACATCAAATGCCTTCAAGCCAATCCTTTTTGCTGTACGTTTTGCAGCCTACTGTAGTAGATACGCAACAGATATGTGGGGAAAAAGAGATAAGAGGAGGAAGCTAATAAGAGACCTGTCAAGATTGTAGAACTTCTTGATTTCTTTTGAGAATTTGTTGCCTTTCTACTATTACAGCAAAGCAGCATTTTGTTACTGACTGCCTAAAATCACTTAATCTCAGGTGAACGCATCACTTGCCAAACTGTTGGAATGCTATTTGTGTTTTGTTGCACTGTTGAGTTTTTGTTGTTGTTGTTGTTTATTTGGTTGGCTTTTTGGAGAGGGAAATTTGGAAACGGGACATACACAAAAGTGATAACCCACCCACATCCCCTTTTTGTCATTACATACAAGAAGAAACTAGCAGAGTTAAGAATGGAGTATAGAAAGGCAGTATGGCAGGCACCAGCAAAGAGTTAAGGGCTGTTGCTCTTAAAAATTAGTATTTTTATTATTATTTTTAAAATAATGGAAATTTTCCAGTCACTGGGGAGAGGAGGGAAAAGTACATTTATTTTTATACAGAGTTACTTAATTACCTCCAAAACACATATGTTGGAAATCATTTTTGCCAATGCAAAGTATTTTAATGAGGATATATATATGTGTGTGTATATATCTCACACACACACACACACACACACACATATATATATACATGATTAGAGTTCAATTTATACATTTGCTATCCTGGTCAAGTTGACAGTATAAAAACCCAAGTTTATTCTAAAAGTGTATAATTTCACAATTAAAAACACTAGAATGTTTGCTGGGATGATTTTTTTTCCGTTGTCTAAAAACAATTTGCTAAATATGAAAAATTATTCTGATGAGTATATAGAGAGAAAAGAGCAATCACATCAGTAAATCCTAGGTTTTTTTAAGTAATTTACAGTTGGATCATAACATATACCAGCATTCATGATAACATTTAAAACCGTAATCTGAGGTACTAAGTGTACTGAATTTTTTTTTTTTAAGAAGGAATTCAGCTGTGATATTTTTAATGAAAATCAGCATCTCATATTGCAACATACGTGTGAAATGGGTATATATATCTTACCATTTAACCCCACAATTAATAAAGTGGCTGAAAATAATAGTAACTCTGGCTTGGTGCTTGGTTAAATACTGTCTTAAAGCTTCATACAAAACAAATAGGCTTTTCCATAAGTGGCCTTTAAGAAAACATGGAAGACAATTCATGTTTGAAATAATGCTGACAGGGTGAAGAAAGCCCAGTGTAAAAATGAATCGCGTTTTAAGTGATTCGGTTAAAGGGTTTGGGCTCCCGTAGCAAACAAATACTAGATAATAAGGAAATGGGGGTGAAATATTTTTTTACTGTTGTTAAATCATTTTGTGAATGTCCCCCTCAAAAGAAGCTAGTGGAATATTTGGCATAAAGGGCATTTGGTGGTTTTCTTTTTGTTTGGGGGGAGGGGGTTGTCAGAAAATCCCTTTTGTTTTCTCTCTTCTTATGTCTAACTGACTAGGGAACAATTGTTGATATGCATAGCATTGGAATACTTATTACCACGTACTCTCACAAGTAACACAAGAAGCAAGAATGACCAATATTGTGATAATTGGCACAGGATCACAAGATGTGATAAAAATTTTAAGTTTATAAAGCTTTATCAAATAAAGTTTTATTTTTCCCATTAAAGTTTTTGTCTCCCTGTCATTCAGAGGCATTACTTTTTTTTTCTCCTAAATATTGGTCAATTCCTAATTTAAGATGTGAGGTTCACAGTTGTATTCCAGTATTCAAGATAGATTCCTGATTTTTCAATTGGGAAAAGTAAAATCCAAAATGTTAGCAAAACAAAGTGCAATATTAAATGTTTGCTTTATAGATTATATTCTATGGCTGTTTGTAATTCTCTTTTTTCTTTTTTTATTTGGTGCTGAATATGTCCTTGTAGGCTCTGTTTTAAGAAAACTATGTGGGAAATGATTTAATTTTTCCTATTGCTCTTCCTTGTGGAAAATAAAAGTGTTTTTTTTTCTTTTTTGTATAATTGTTTGGAGATTTATTTTGACTCTTGATCATATTAGTAACACTATACATGCAAACACTATTAATATCAGCTATTCTAAGAATTATTTCTATATCTGAGCTAAAGAAAATTAGAACTGAAAGGAATTTTTATACTAATCATTGTTTTACTTATAACACTATAGAAGCTTTTTATAAAATGTGTAAGATGTATGCACATAGTTTTCATTCTTAAATAAGAACCAAATCTAACCAGGAGATTTTATTTTCAGATATTAATTTTCTCCCACTATGATGCTTGTCAGTCACTGTTTCAAAAGCAATCTGTTGAAAAAAAATCAATTTTTCTAAATTTTTAAAATAGTAATGAATTTCATGGAGATTGCTAACTTGAAGTTTTGGGAAACAGATATTGTCTGAAGTGTTTTACATGCATTCACGAATTATGAAGTTGTTTATGTAACTTGCTGTGGGATTCTCCCAATACTTCCAAATGTATTTTCATAGAAAGTATATTACAAATAGACATTTACACATACATTTTGTATTTATTTATAATCAATTTTTCAGAGGTGCTATCAGCCTTGTTCACTCAACTAAATGATATACACAGGTATTAGTATAATAAGGAATAAAAGTGACAGGAAAAGTGACTACAGGATGAGAAAGGGAAATCTAGGTTCTGCATTCAGTAACTAGATGGGGCATTGACAAAGATGTACAAGTTGACTTCTTATCTGTAAAATGGAAAAGTAGCTATCCAGGATCTTTTTCTTCCTGAAGGTGTTTGCACATTTTTTTTTACACAATACCTTTATTTTATTTATTTTTATGTAGTGCTGAGCATCAAACCCAGTACCTAGAACATGCTAAGTGAGCACTCTACTGCTGAGCCACAACTCCAGCCCCAGTTTGTACATCTTATAGTATTTACTTTTTTAAAATATTAATTTATAAGGAAATAATACTCCACATCATTGTAACATTTGGAAATTCACCACTTAGCTTCTAAGTTAGCATTGCAACATAATGGCATCTGTGAGTTATCTCGTCTTTGTTTTATATTAACTATACTTATCAAACCACTTGTCATAATTTATTAAGTGGCTGAACTTAGTATATTAATGACAACTTATGTTGTAGGAGGAAGAAATTTAGACTAGCTTCAATAAGATAATGTATAAACTAATAATTTCAGGGATGACATATTAAACACATCTGGATCCAGGAATCCATATAGGGCCCTGGGGACATACTCTCGTCTTTCATCTATGTTAAGATTAACTTTTTAGTGTTGACCCCTTATTCATATCCGCTTTTATGTTAAATGACCAGAAAAAGGGACCCCAGTTCTTATAGCCCACAGACAAATACCATCTGGAATCCCTAAAATCCCCAAATTGTGGAGATCCTGATTTGTTGATACCTGTTCATGTTTCATACCATATAAAATGGATTTCCCAATTTACTTCTATTTCCAAAAAGAACAGTGGTCAATACTTTCTTCCTATATCCAGTAGTGTTTAAACCAGGAACAACATCCCCTGAAAACTCCTTAGGAAAGCAGAATATCAAGGTCTACCCCAGAATATTGACCAAAATCTCCCTACTCAAATGATTCCAAGAATCATTTTACATACTTCAGGTAGAATTTCATAATCCTTGAGATAGTGGACAATTATAATTTTGAAATTCCTATGTCAACAAACAGCATTTTCTAAAACTTGCATGACAGTAATGCAGTATTTTGCCTTTCCTTCTACCTGATTTTCAAATCAATACAGAGAGGAGAAAAATGTTTCAACTCGTGAAAATTTTTATTTATAAAAGAAAATTTATTTTTATTTTTGAGAAATGTAATCTGCACTCTTTTACCAAAAAAAAGTTAGAAAAATAATGATATGAACAGCAACTTCAAATTTAAGATAATTTATGGTTTGAAAATTCAAAAGCATGCCTACCTGGGAATGTACACAGCATCATTATTGGTCAGCACAAAGCTAAACATAAAGGGAAATGTTAAAACGTTTTCAAACCTGTTTTATAGACACAAACTTATACAAGTGATGTCAAGTTAGTCATACAGAGCAAAAAACAACCACCACCAATTAGATTGTTTAGGAGTAGTATCTAGCATTTACATGTTTTTAAGATATGTGTTACATACACATCCATATATACATACATTCTTTTTTATATAATAATATATATATCCTTACTTTTTAACATATACATATAATGTGATCTATATGTATCCTACTATGATTCAAGATTAAATATGATATTCGTATTAAGATTTCTGGTATAGCATGGCTAATTCTAGAAACAGATTTATTGTACTTCTAAATGCAAGGTTTTTTATAACCAATTTCTTATCCAAACAGAATGATTGTTACTTCCGTCAATGGTAGGTCTCTGGGAACATTAATAAAGTTAAGATAATCAAAACATCATTTTATATAGTTTAAAGGTCTATTTACTAGTTACACAAAACAGTCTCAGCAGTGAACTGAAGAATGTGAGAGATCCAAATATACTATCTTAATTTTTTTAAATAGTGTTTACTTTTCTTAAATATTAATTTTATTTATTTATATGTGGTGCTGAGAATTGAACCCAGTACCTCACACATGCTAGGCAAACGCTCTGCCACTGAGCCAAAACCCCAGCCCAGTGTCTTAATTTTTAACTTTATAAAATGTTTATTTTACCAACTCGTAGATCTAGTGATGATACGACTACTAAGAGTCAAAGGTTTACACTGTGATTATTTTAGAAGATGTGATGTTTTTGCCAAAATAAGTCTGATCCTTACAGAATATAGGAATTTAGCTGGGTGCTACGCGCACACCTATAATCCCAGCTACTCAGGACACTAATGCAAGAGGATTGCAAGTTCAAAGCCTGCCTGGGCAATTTAGCAAGACCCTGTTGCAAAATTTAATAAAAGGGCTGTGAGGTGGTATTCGTTAATGGTTAGAGCACCTCTGAGTTCAATCCTGGTGCCCAAAATGAAAATATTTATATATTTATAGATAGATACACACACACACACACACACACACACGTGTTAACATGTATATGTGTGTGTAGTATATATATTTACATCTGTGGTAATGTAAATACATATATATATAATGTAAGTACATATATATGTGTATGTGAATTTGTACTTAACAGATAATTTTTATCAAATGAATTAACTGAAATAATGATAGAAATTCAAATTGACAGAATAAACAGCCAGTTTCTAGCTTATTCTATTAAGGAAATCCACATTTTCACCTCCTTAATGCAAAGCACACTTTTGTAATCTAGACAGCCGGACAACTCAAAATCCCAAAAAGTAGTATTCAATATGTTTAGAATAATAACAGGAAGCTATGATACAGCACATGCATCATGCAAACTGTATGCTCGTTGCCAACAAGAGCATACACAGAACTGAAAAGAACAAAAGCACATTTTTTTCTTCTCCAGTTTGTTAATTCCAAAATTACAGGGACAGAGGAGAAAATGTTCCCCTCCCTCTGGCCTCCCCCCAATCTGGAGAGCCAACTCTAGAAAATCTTTGTGAGGAGCTGCCACAGGAATACATGCTATATAGAGAAGCATTGGTCAAATGCCTCAGGCTGTTGAGCTTTTATATCTGGAGCCGACTTCCTTGTTTCAGCAGACTGAGCAAGAAAATTCCTTATAAAGTCTCTTCTTACAGTGCCCCCAGGTTAATTTCCTACTTACAAAGACTGCTGAAACAAAGCACCACAAAGGAGCTGGTTTAAAACAATAGAAATGTATTCATATCACAGTTCTAGAGGCCAGAGTTCCAAAATCAAGATGTTGGTAAGGACATTTATCTTTCTGAAACATGAAGAGAAAATCTTTCCTTGCCTCTTCCAGCTTCTGGTAGTAATGGAAATCTGGCATTCCTTGGCTTGAAGTTGCAAAATTCCAGTCTCTGCCTCTATTGTCTCATGGCCATCTTTTCCCTGTGTGTCTCTGTCTCTCCATATGACATTCTGTTGTGTCTCTTCTTGAAAGGACACCAGTACATTGGATGAAGGGTCACCCTACTCCAGTATGACCTCATATGAAGCAATTACATATTCAGTGAACATTTATTTCCAAATAAGGTCACATTTCCAAATAAGATCCCATTCTGAGATATTTGGGTGTTAAATATATAATATATGTATAGTATATATATATGTATATATATATATATATATATATATATAGTATATATAGTATATAGTATGTATATATATATTATATATAATATATAGTCATATGTCATATAAAATATATATTATATATATAATTTATATTTTTATATGATATTTATATGTATTTATATTTATATATAAATTATATATTATAAATTATATTATAAATAAAATTATTAAAATATACAAGTTATATATTATAAGTTATATATAATTTATATAATATATATTGTAATATATGACAGAGAAATTTTTTTTGTTTTTGTTTTCGATGTTTAGAGGTACTGGGAATTAAACCCAGGGCTATTCTACCACTGAACCACATCCACAATCCTTAAAATTATTTTCAGTTTTGAGACAGGGTCTTGCTAAATTACCCAGACTAAGCTCAAATTTTCGATCCTCCTGCTTCAGCCTCTCAAGTAAATTGGATTACAGGCATATATCACCACACCTGGCTCTAACATATCTTTTTGAAAACACAATTTAACCCAAACAATCCCCTTCCCTCCAAAACACATAATGGCAACTGTGTCGCATCCATAAGGAAAAGCTGCCTATTTAGAATACATACAGTTAGCTATTTCTCAATAATATAGGGCAAATTTAGTGCTAAACTGTAAAATCAGTATAGGTGAAAGGAATCCCCCACCACCATTACCTATTTTTTTTTTTAATTGGCCTGATGCAGGTACTGTGGTGGGTAAGCACACAAAATGTGAGATGAGAAAACTAAGTTCTGGTCCAAATACACTAATTTGCTCAATGAACTTAACCAAGTCATTTATGTTCTCTG